ATTTTGTTAGTGTATGCTACAAAAAGAGTGCTTGATTTTCATAAAAAACAAAAATGTAATAAAATAGCTTCTTGAGGATCCTATAGATGGTGAGACTGTTCAAATCATTTTTTATTTATTATATATAGTAGTATAAAATAAGAAAATATTTTTTTAAATAATACAATATAATAATATCATGATATTTTTGAATATATCACTATATTATTATATTGTTATTGCAATAATAATTGCAGTTATGCAATTAGTAACAAAAATATAAAGGAAAGAATCCAGAAATGAAGGGCTTTTTTTTTTGTCAATAAAAATACTTTTACAGTTTAACAATACTTTTACGCCCAATAAACATTGGAAAGAATTTAGAATTGGAGATCTAACCTTAGGCAGCATTACAACATAGATATGAGGTGCAAAGTCCTATGGCTTACCTTCTAGTTGGTGCACTTCGTTAAGTAAGTTAGACATTGTATGTCTAATTTACGAACAGAATAGCCAAGGCAAATTTCATATTTTATTATTAGTTATTTTACTAGAATCCATTCATATATATATATATATATATATATATATATATATATATATATATATATATATATATATAATTTATATAATAAACAAACACATGTGTTTGTGTGTTTGTTTATTATATAAATAATTAGTATATAATACTTTTTACAGTAGCTTTTATCAAACAAAAGATGCAAGTTCAGAGAATTCTAGTTCAGAGAAATAGTATATACAGAATTGCCAGAAAAAGTATATTGCTAAACAAATTTCTCAAGAAATAAATCTAACTCTTAAAAATGACATCTCAAGACAGACAATAAATAGAAGATTAATTGATCGTAAACTATGCTTGTATACTGCTGCTAAAAAACCAATGCTTAAACGATCAGTTTGGCTCAAACGGCTTCAGTTTTGCAAAAAAAAATTTAAGATGAGTGATAATGATATTAAGAAAAATAGTATTTAGCGATGAATCAAATCATACAAAACTTTATTTATTTATTAACTAAGTTTTATTCTAATTCTACAGTGGGTGGCCATTGAAATAGGGCCATTGAGTTTTCTACACATTTTTGTGAAATTTTATTTATCTCCGTGGCATGCTGTCAATGCATTTCTGTGCCAATTCTTTTATGTGAGGATTTCGATGCCAACCTTCATTTAGTTTTATGTGAGAATTTCGATGCCAACCTTCATTTAGTTTTATGTGAGGATTTCGATGTCAACCTTCATTTAGTTTTATGTGAGGATTTCGATGCCAACCTTCATTCAGTTTTATGTTAGGATTTCGATGTCAACCTTCATTTAGTTTTATGTGATGATTTCGATGCCAACCTTCATTTAGTTTTTCAATATGCTGTGTTTTATTTGTCACCAGTTGTTTTGAAGAAACCTCCCGTTTTAATAGCTCCCACAGGTTTTCTATAGGATTAAGATCCGGGGAATTTCCTGGCCAATCCAGCAGTGGAATTTTTTTCTCTCTAAGAAACTTTTTAATGCATTTTGCCGTATGGCATGGGGCAGAATCTTGCATAAATATAAATTTGCCATCTGGAAGCCATTCCGAGACTTGAGGAATGAGCTTTTGCTCCAAAACCTCTTTGTATTGGCCCTGCCTTATTGTCCCTTGCACAATCTAAAGCCTTCCCGTACCCTAACCACATATAACGGACCACATCATAATTGACAATGGATATTTTACTGTCTCGATAATGCAGTCTGGATTAAATTTTTCACCCACCCTTCGTCGCACAAATGAGGCTTTGTCGTCCAAGATCTGAAACGTGGATTCATCAGAAAAGCACACCTGAAAACAAATGTTTCAAAAAATGTTAGTCTTTCATTAATCTAAAGAAAATCGAGAAATAAAGCAGAGCATGACATGTTTAAGAAATAAATACCTTTCTCCAATCATCTGTTGTCATATTGCGGTGTTTTATAGCCCATTTCAGTCTTTTATCCTTCATGGCAGGCGTTAATTTTTTTTTTTTCGCAGGGCGGTAACACTTAAAGCCTAACTCATCTAAGCGTCTCCTAACTGTGCAATCACTAATATTAATTCCAGCATCTTTATTCAATGTTGTGATTATTTTTCTGGGTTTCTTTCTATTCTCCAAACAAATGTTCCTTATAATTCTCTCAGACCTTGGCGTTGTAAGGCGTTTTCCTTTACAGTTTTTACGGAGTGTGGATAAGGGTTTTTGCCATTTTTTATTTTTGATGCTATTCTTTGCACGGTCTGCCTAGAAACGCCAATTCTTCTTGAAATTTCTCGTTGAGAATAGTTGGTGTTCCTTAAAAGTGACATTATTTCACTTTTTTTACAAACATTCACATCTTTTTTTTTTACCCATTGTCAGAAACTTTAAAAAATCTAAAAGACCAATAAACACACTACAAAAATATGTAAAAGAAAATTAAAAAAGTTGAAATAATGTATATTTTTGGAAAAACTTCTTTCAAAGAAGTCTTTCACTAAATAAAACACTTAAAAAATTAAAATTTTGAAAAATAGTCGGTTAAAAATAACGTTTGAAGAAAGATCCTTAACACACACACAACAAGCTTCGGCAATCTACAAATGGTAACTGAACACAATTTCACGGTTTTACTTGTCAAAACATGCAAAATATAGTGTTGCTAGCAACAAAAAAGTGTTGCCTACACAATTATTTGTAACAATGTCGTAAATAATTATAAAAAGTTGTGATTTTTTTTCTAAATAATTATGAAAAATTGTGAATTTTTTTCTTTCTGCGATTTTATTTCCACATCGGAAATAAATTTATGTCGGGAAACAATTTTATGCGTAAGCTGCGTAATATTATTTCCTTAATAACCGAAACTTGCGCCACGGAAATAAATTTATGGGGGAAATAAATTTATTTCCGTGGCGCTAGTTTCGGTTTTTTAGGAAATAATATTACGCAGCTTACGCATAAAATTGTTTCCCGACATAAATTTATTTCCGATGTGGAAATAAAATCGCAGAAAGAAAAAAATTCACAATTTTTCATAATTATTTAGAAAAAAAATCACAACTTTTTATAATTATTTACGACATTGTTACAAATAATTGTGTAGGCAACACTTTTTTGTTGCTAGCAACACTATATTTTGCATGTTTTGACAAGTAAAACCGTGAAATTGTGTTCAGTTACCATTTGTAGATTGCCGAAGCTTGTTGTGTGTGTGTTAAGGATCTTTCTTCAAACGTTATTTTTAACCGACTATTTTTCAAAATTTTAATTTTTTAAGTGTTTTATTTAGTGAAAGACTTCTTTGAAAGAAGTTTTTCCAAAAATATACATTATTTCAACTTTTTTAATTTTCTTTTACATATTTTTGTAGTGTGTTTATTGGTCTTTTAGATTTTTTAAAGTTTCTGACAATGGGTAAAAAAAAAAGATGTGAATGTTTGTAAAAAAAGTGAAATAATGTCACTTTTAAGGAACACCAACTATTCTCAACGAGAAATTTCAAGAAGAATTGGCGTTTCTAGGCAGACCGTGCAAAGAATAGCATCAAAAATAAAAAATGGCAAAAACCCTTATCCACACTCCGTAAAAACTGTAAAGGAAAACGCCTTACAACGCCAAGGTCTGAGAGAATTATAAGGAACATTTGTTTGGAGAATAGAAAGAAACCCAGAAAAATAATCACAACATTGAATAAAGATGCTGGAATTAATATTAGTGATTGCACAGTTAGGAGACGCTTAGATGAGTTAGGCTTTAAGTGTTACCGCCCTGCGAAAAAAAAAAAATTAACGCCTGCCATGAAGGATAAAAGACTGAAATGGGCTATAAAACACCGCAATATGACAACAGATGATTGGAGAAAGGTATTTATTTCTTAAACATGTCATGCTCTGCTTTATTTCTCGATTTTCTTTAGATTAATGAAAGACTAACATTTTTTGAAACATTTGTTTTCAGGTGTGCTTTTCTGATGAATCCACGTTTCAGATCTTGGACGACAAAGCCTCATTTGTGCGACGAAGGGTGGGTGAAAAATTTAATCCAGACTGCATTATCGAGACAGTAAAATATCCATTGTCAATTATGATGTGGTCCGTTATATGTGGTTAGGGTACGGGAAGGCTTTAGATTGTGCAAGGGACAATAAGGCAGGGCCAATACAAAGAGGTTTTGGAGCAAAAGCTCATTCCTCAAGTCTCGGAATGGCTTCCAGATGGCAAATTTATATTTATGCAAGATTCTGCCCCATGCCATACGGCAAAATGCATTAAAAAGTTTCTTAGAGAGAAAAAAATTCCACTGCTGGATTGGCCAGGAAATTCCCCGGATCTTAATCCTATAGAAAACCTGTGGGAGCTATTAAAACGGGAGGTTTCTTCAAAACAACTGGTGACAAATAAAACACAGCATATTGAAAAACTAAATGAAGGTTGGCATCGAAATCATCACATAAAACTAAATGAAGGTTGACATCGAAATCCTAACATAAAACTGAATGAAGGTTGGCATCGAAATCCTCACATAAAACTAAATGAAGGTTGACATCGAAATCCTCACATAAAACTAAATGAAGGTTGGCATCGAAATTCTCACATAAAACTAAATGAAGGTTGGCATCGAAATCCTCACATAAAAGAATTGGCACAGAAATGCATTGACAGCATGCCACGGAGATAAATAAAATTTCACAAAAATGTGTAGAAAACTCAATGGCCCTATTTCAATGGCCACCCACTGTAGAATTAGAATAAAACTTAGTTAATAAATAAATAAAGTTTTGTATGATTTGATTCATCGCTAAATACTATTTTTCTTAATATCATTATCACTCATCTTAAATTTTTTTTTGCAAAACTGAAGCCGTTTGAGCCAAACTGATCGTTTAAGCATTGGTTTTTTAGCAGCAGTATACAAGCATAGTTTACGATCAATTAATCTTCTATTTATTGTCTGTCTTGAGATGTCATTTTTAAGAGTTAGATTTATTTCTTGAGAAATTTGTTTAGCAATATACTTTTTCTGGCAATTCTGTATATACTATTTCTCTGAACTAGAATTCTCTGAACTTGCATCTTTTGTTTGATAAAAGCTACTGTAAAAAGTATTATATACTAATTATTTATATAATAAACAAACACACAAACACATGTGTTTGTTTATTATATAAATTATATATATATATATATATATATATATATATATATATATATATATATATATATATATATTGAATGGATTCTAGTAAAATAACTAATAATAAAATATGAAATTTGCCTTGGCTATTCTGTTCGTAAATTAGACATACAATGTCTAACTTACTTAACGAAGTGCACCAACTAGAAGGTAAGCCATAGGACTTTGCACCTCATATCTATGTTGTAATGCTGCCTAAGGTTAGATCTCCAATTCTAAATTCTTTCCAATGTTTATTGGGCGTAAAAGTATTGTTAAACTGTAAAAGTATTTTTATTGACAAAAAAAAAAGCCCTTCATTTCTGGATTCTTTCCTTTATATTTTTGTTACTAATTGCATAACTGCAATTATTATTGCAATAACAATATAATAATATAGTGATATATTCAAAAATATCATGATATTATTATATTGTATTATTTAAAAAAATATTTTCTTATTTTATACTACTATATATAATAAATAAAAAATGATTTGAACAGTCTCACCATCTATAGGATCCTCAAGAAGCTATTTTATTACATTTTTGTTTTTTATGAAAATCAAGCACTCTTTTTGTAGCATACACTAACAAAATTTACACACATATTTAAATTTTTTATTTAGTAGCTAAAATTGTATTCTCCATCAGTAGGTTCATCAGGAAGCCATGATACTGATGAACCTACTGATGGAGAAACATTATTTTAAAGAAATCTAAAAATTAGATAAGTGTTTTTACTAATTTAAATACACACACACACACACCACATACACGCGCACACACGCACACACACACACACACACACATATATATATATATAAATTAGAAAAAACTGGAACTTTTAATGTCATTTTTTTTTCAGCAGTATTATCAGGAAGTTACTTGATGATCCAGCTGAAGGAAATCCAGCTGAAACTGACAGTAAAATATTTGACATAAATGTGAATCAGAAGTTCAGAAAAAACAAATAAAAACAAATAAAAAAAAATCTTACTCATCAGCTCGTTTATAGCATGAAAAACTACCATTATGAACATTAGAGGACTAGTTAAAATACCATTTTTGAGGTGTATTGCACATAGTTAATTCAAACAGCTAAAATACACAAAAAAAAAGATAAGAAAAGCGTAAACAATACAAGAAGTTTTTTGAAATTGGTTCATGTAAAAAATAAAGGACATGATAAAATAAGATAACAAACTTTTCAAAAATGTAACTAAATTAAACTTCAATACAAATTGTTTCAAGTTTAAAGCATAAACTGTAAAAAAAAAAAAATTTCAATTCAAGTCAAAAATCTAGTAAATAAAATAGTATATTCTCATTAAATATACTAGAATGTCTAAATAAAAAAAAGAGAAAATAATAGCATAATCTTTTGAGAAAACCTATCGTAAATAACTCATTCAACTAACAAAAAAAGGAAAACTGGAACTAAAATAAAAACAACTAAAATAAATCAAAGCTATACTAAAAGTAAACTATTAAATAATACACAACAGACATTTTCATGCATTAACTTTATCTGAATATGTGTTTGTGACTGCTTCACATCTATTAAACTAACAAAAAAAGGAAAACTGGAACTAAAATAAAAACAACTAAAATAAATCGAAGCTATACTAAAAGTAAACTATTAAATAATACACAACAGACATTTTCATGCATTAACTTTATCTGAATATGTGTTTGTGACTGCTTCACATCTATTAAACTAACAAAAAAAGGAAAACTGGAACTAAAATAAAAACAACTAAAATAAATCGAAGCTATACTAAAAGTAAACTATTAAATAATACACAACAGACATTTTCATGCATTAACTTTATCTGAATATGTGTTTGTGACTGCTTCACATCTATTAAACTAACAAAAAAAGGAAAACTGGAACTAAAATAAAAACAACTAAAATAAATCGAAGCTATACTAAAAGTAAACTATTAAATAATACACAACAGACATTTTCATGCATTAACTTTATCTGAATATGTGTTTGTGACTGCTTCACATCTATTAAACTGAATAATTTTTCAAATCCAATATTAGAGGAACATTAACAAACATTAAAAATCGTAGAACTTTCACATTTATTAACTGTACTTTCTGAATATGATCTTGGAAATGATGTTAAATGCTTAGCTTTGAAGCAATTGTGTAAATGCTGGCGCATTGCAGATTGATTGTCCCATACAAATATCTACTGAAAATGCGATTGCAAACAAACCACAGTCAATTCCTCCAACTTGTTGCTGACATGATTGGTATTGACACATAACTGTATTTTTAGAACATGATCTAATTGAAGCAATTTGTTTTTGTACATGCAAAGTTGGCATTTCTGTCTTCATTGAGTCATAAATTTTAACGACTCTATCGCTGCAACCAAGTGTGCTAATCAACAACCAGTGAAGGGATCCGTCATGCAAAATTTGTAGCATCTCCTGTGACTGTATACGGAACATGAGATTTGTTCCTAATAAGGTGTCTTGCATACCTTGAATTTTTTAATATTACTTGAGCAGCATTAATTTCAATGTATCCTAACATGTTTTGATTCAATATACTCTCAAATGCTGATATTGGTACACTAAATGTAATGCTATTTTTGGATAAATAAGTATCAATAGAGTCAATGTTTTTAATATAAAATTGATTTTGTGATGACGTTATTTGACCTGGATCAGATTTTTTGACTGTATTTGTTGCAGGGTAACTACTGTATGACAAATTTAAATGAGTTGCTTCTAAAAGTTGAATATTAGTATATATGTCTTGACATGGATAATAAGGTTTAAGCTGAGAAACGTTTACTTTTGTTTTTAAAAATTCACCATTAAGGTTTTTTAGAGTGCATTGACCTTTTATGTTTAAATCAGCTAGAGTATATGGTCCCATCCTTGAAAACTCCTTAGATAAAGGCTCACCTTTGCGACCTTGTTTTCTTGCATTTAAGTTCATCACTTAATCATTTATTTTAAATGTAAATGTCTTTATACCCTTTTTTGCAACTTTTTTCATATGTTGCTTACACTGCTTTTCTTGAGCAATTTTTATATTTTCCCTAACTTTTTTCTCAACAGCCTCACAATCATTAACTAACTTTTCTACTGTTGAGTCAGATATTTTTCCAAGAAAACAACTATTTAAAGAATCATCAGTCTCATTTAGAACATTTATCATCTCATTACCTGGAGGATGTCTTAAATACATTAAATAAAACAATGTCATTTCTGTAGATTTCTGGCATGATATGTTCAGTCCATAAGCAATTGCAGATGTGTAACTAATACAAGTCATAAAAAAAAATTATTGTAATAATAAATTATAGTGTATATATAAGGAAAATGAAATAAGAATATAGACTACTAAACCTATCCCAGTCATTCATCTCATTATTAGTATACTTGCTTAAAGCACGTTTAAAAGTTTGATTTGTACGTTCATCTTGACCATTACTTTGAGGATGGTATGCTGATGTCACAGAATGTTTAATACCCATTAATTGAAAAATTTTATTGTTAAGCTATACATAAAATATAATAAAAAAAACTAATAAAATAAATTTTTAATAACACAAAGAAAACAAAAGTTTTAGAAACTTTTTTAGTCTTTATCTCATTCACAAATTCTTTTCTTTGATCTGTAATTACTTATTTTGGTGGACCATAAGTATGAAAAGTGTTAACTAAAGCAGTAGCAGCTACAAAGCTACAGCAGCAGCAAATTTTTCAGGAAATACTCTAGCAACAATTTATTTTGTAAACAAATCTGTTATTGTTAAAACATATTTATTGCCATTCACTGTTTCTGGTAATGGACCAATTAGATCTACTCCTAAAACTGACCAACTTTCTGTAACCTGAATTGGGTGTAGTTGTGGCGCAATTGTTTTTATTTTTTCAAATGATCGACATTGTTTACATGTCTGGATCTATAATAGACTATATATTATTCAATTAGAATAATACAATTTATAATGTATATTATTATTGCAATATTGCATTTAAATTTTATACATCAGATGTAATTGACATCCAAAAATACAAATTTTTAATTTTATTTTGAGTTCTTACTATTCCCCACCAGCACCATTATGACATTCTTTAAGAACCCTTTTTCTTTCTTCTTGACTATACAAAACAAGTCGTAGAGATTTATTTTGAATATAGTAAAAACGTCCATCTAAAAATTTAACCAAATTTTAAAACTTAGTTCAAACATATGTTAAAAGCCTAAACTTAAAACAAAATATTTAAAACTAAGTGGAAACTATTAGATACTGTGATATTGCAATATTGTTATTATATTTAGATTATGCATTTTGTGTTCCATTATATATATATTTTTTTGTCTTATCTCTTCGAGACGTAGCTCTTGAGAATTTGCAATGATCTTAGGCATTGCTTAAGAAAAAAATATAAAAATAATATATCATACTTGGCATGAAAGTTATTAATTTATTTATTAAAACCTAATGTAAATTTAAACCCACTTCTAATCAGGATAGGAAGAAAATTTATGGGTGTTGTTGTTTAGTTTGTATGGGGTTGTTTAGTTATTTCGGGTGGCCTCTTTAACCAATCGGCGTGCGACTCGGAAATAAATTTATGGGGGAAATAAATTTGTACGACACCAGCAATCTTCCCACTTTTTTTCATAAAAATAGCTCCGTCGGTCATTATTACCACTATGTCGCCGTATAGATCAAGACAATGGTCTTTAAGTTTTTTTTCTAACAGTTCAATGCATTTTTCTGCTGGCATTGACCATGTTATTTGCACTAAACCCAAACTCCAAAATTAAGAATTTTTTCCATGAACGTTAATATTCATATAGCGATGATTTCAAAGTGACGTCCATTCGTCAAAAGACAAATAAAATTTCTCTCCTACCCCAAATTCTGTACTCTTAAGTGCTTTAATTTGCTGAACTAAACCTAATCTTACTTTTTTTTGTACTCTACTACATAATTAGGGTAATGCGGGGCAAAATGAGACAGCGGGGCAATACGAGACAGTTCGTGTTTAACATAATGTTAGCCCTACAAATTATTATTTGCAAGATTTTTAAAAGTGCAGTTGTGTTCAAAAACTATTTTGTGTCAAGAAAAATATATTGAGTCACTTTTAAATAAAAAAGTTGAGTAAAAGGGGAGTCATTTTATCCCTCGGCTTCGCGAAAATTACGAATTTTTAAGAGTTGTTATTATATTTTTTCCTAGTCTTATTTGATCTCACTGAGTGGAAAAGCTTTTTATATAAATTTTTTTTTTTAAATTAGAATCTTTAGGCCTTTTCCTTTCATTTCCATTATTTGATATTTTATTTCTTCAATAAAATAGTCTGGAAATTAGGCTATTCGATGCCAACATGATGCGGGGCAAAACGAGACATTCTGTTTGTATTTTTTTTTGCCGATATCTAATATTATGGTTATTTAATTTTTTACATTAAAACAACAACTAAAGCAAATAATTATATTTACATGCTGTAGATTCAAATTTATTATACTGTATTAACTTACTTTTTATTTTGTTAATTGAAATGTTTAGTTGTTATCCAATATAGAATTACGTTTTATATTTTGTTAACTTATATTTAAATATAATAAATATTTAATCAAATTGAATAAAGTAAGTAGTATATAAAATATATAGTGAGTAGATTATAACATAGGTTATTGCAGTACCTATAAACAAAATACAATGAATGTTATGCGTGCTTTAAATACATAAGTTTAATATATGCATGTATGGTTTTATTAGTTCTTGTAGTGGATATATATATATATATATATATAATATATATATATATATATATATATATATATATATATATATATATATATATATATATATATATATATATATATATATATATATATATATATATATATATATATATATAATATATATATATATATATATATATATATATACATATATATATATATATTTTTTTATATATGTATATATATATATATATATATATATATATATATATATATATATATATATATATATATATATATATATACATATATATATATATATTTTTTTATATATGTATATATATATATATATATATATATATATATATATATATATATATATATATATATATATATATATATATATATATATATATATATATATATATATATATATATATATATATATATATATAAGTGGAGTCAATTTTCAAAATGCACAACCCGGGCTCATTCGGACTGTTGTTT